GTGCGATCCAGCCGCTGCTGGAGCCTCTGTGTGGGGAGGGTGGTACGGAGACCCCCGGTGATTTGCAGGATGGAGGAGAAATAAAATGGGGAGGGGGGTGGGGGGGGTGAAGGGAAGCGCGGTGCCCCTTCCCTGCGTCCCCCACCCGCTGCTGGGGACGGGGACCCGGGGGGAGGTGGCAGCGGGGCCGGCCGGGGATGCTGGGGGGGGCCGGGGCCGGCTCCGCGCTGGGACCCCCCGGCTCCGGGGTTTCGGTGCTGGGAGAGCGCCGGGAATATCCCGATCCCCGCACCCCTCCCCGCAGAGGCCAGGAGCCGGTTGGGAAAAGAGATAAGGGGAGAAAACGATGGGCAGGATAAAAAAACCCTCCCTTGGGGCTGAGGAGCGAGCGCTGCCCGTGCCCCGCCGGGATTAGCCCCGTGGGGCCGCAGGGGATGATCCCATTAGCGCTGCTCCCTGATCCCATTTGCAGCCGCCAGAGCCCGGTGCTGAACCGCCGAGCGGGGAAACGGCCGCCGGAGCCTCCGTGTGTCCTCCCGGCGCTGGAAATCCCGGGGCTGGGCCGGGCCCGACCCCTTCTCCCCCGTAAATCCGCCCGGAGAGGCCTGAACCCGGCGGAGCCAAAGGGATGGGGGTTGTTCGGGCACGGTCCGACGGCGGGTGGGGAAACTGAGGCACGGGGAAGGGCAGCCGAGGATGTGCCGGGGCCGCGGTTGGGATCCATTCCTTGCGTCGGGATGTAAAACCCCGGCCCCAGCAGGTTTGGGGCCCAGAGGGTGCCCGGAGAGCGGGGGGTGGCATCGGAAAACGCTCATCCCAATGATCCCAAAGGGGGTGGCTCAGCCCCAACCCCTCCTCGGGGGGATGCTGCGGGGGGCAGGTGCTGTTGGCTGCTCTCACCCATCCGGGCTGGCCATCAGCACAGGGCTGTGCCGGGGCGGCTCCGGAGCCCGTGCTCACCCCACGGCGACGGCTTCATCCCAGGGGCTCAGGCCCTCGGGGGGGTGTTTGCTCAGCAGCAAAGGCAGGACCCCCCCAGCCCTGTGCAGTGCGTACACCAGGGGACACCATGCCGTGGTCCTGGTGCACCCCCAGATCCTGCCAAACTCAAGCAGCCGTGATGGGGTCCCGCTTGGGGACAAGAGGGGCCGGGTGTGAGGAGCCGGGGGGAAAGCAGAGTCACCCCCACACACTCACCCGAGGGACCCTGAGCAGAGCAGAGGGAGGGGGGAACACCAGCCAGAAGGGAAACGTGGGAGGGCTCCTGCTCTCTAGGAGCTCATTAACAATATTAATGACTAATTGCCCACTTGCCCCTGTTTGCATCCCTTCTGGAACAGATAAATCCGTGGGTTCAGCGGTGCTGGAGCCGAGCCCATGGCTCCTGTCAGGTCTCAGCCCAACCCTGCCCCACGGAGCTCCTTCCCTGATGGCAACGGGCAAGAGAAGCCCCCCCGGCCTTGTCCCCCTCCCCAACCCCAGCCATAACTCATCCTCCACGTCTGCAGCCATCTCTCTCTCTCTTGAAAGAGAAATATTTTTCCAGGCGCTGCCTCCATCCATTATCATAAAGTGGCTTCACTTGGCCTGGAGTTAATAATTCACCTTTCCTTGGAAGATGGATGTTCCCATCCCACAGGGGTTTAAATATTCATGGGGAAGGGAAGGGAAGGGAAGGGAAGGGAAGGGAAGGGAAGGAGCACCCTCTGTGCCCTGCGGGAGGTCTGTCCACCGCGGCACAGCCTCTGCCACCGGTGAACACCCCGGTCCCCAGCACCCTTGGTGGGGATCCTCCCAGGCTCTGTTGGCTGCCGGGGGGCCACGGTGGACCCCAGCAGCATCCCGGGGGGCTCGGGGTGCAGCGGGGGCACAGCCAGAGCGCGGGGAGGCTGCAGCCGCCCATTGGAGGGGGAAATGCATGGGAGGAACTTGGCTGGTTGCAATTTTGGACACTTTCAGCGGGGATGGAAGGGGCTGTCCCCAGGCCTCAGGGTCCCCTCTGGCTCCCACGCCGGACGGGCTGGTGATGCACCGAGCTCTCTGCCCACTGGAGGGTCACTCCTGGTCATTATGGGGTCTGTGGGTCCCATGGGACAAGGCTGGTGGGTCCACCCCGTGACCTGGCTGCACTGGGGGGGGGTCCTGCACCCCTTCCCTCCCCAGCCTGGAAAAACCAGTCCTGATGAGTTGTGCCACCTGAATTCCATGGCTTTGAAACACCTGGGGGGGTTGCCCATCCCCTTATGGCTGCTCCGGGTGGGAGCGCGGTGACGTGGCCAGTGCCACCCCCCGGCATTGCTGGCCCTGACGTGTCCCCCCCCTGTTTTTGTCCCCCCAGCTGATCCCAGCCAGCGGAGTGGGGGCCGGGGGCCAGGCCAGAGGCTGACCATGTTCAACGGGGATGGGAGCTCCTCGGCGGCGCGGAGCGTGGTGCGCAGCTCCAGCATCAGCGGGGAGATGTACAGCCTGGAGAGGAGCGCGCGGGGCAGCGCCGACTCCGTCACCGTCACCGCCAGCAAGAAGCGCCGCTCCAGCCTGGGGGCGAAGATGGTGGCCATCGTGGGGCTGTCCCAGTGGAGCAAGAGCACCCTGCAGCTCAACCAGACCGGTGAGACCCCCTTCCCCCCCAACAATCCCCCCTCCAGATCCCCCTCTTTTCTCCCGGCTGCCCAACGAGCCACCCGTATCTGATGGAGACACCTAAAAAAGCCCAGTATGGCCAGGCCAGAGGCTGACCATGTTCAACGGGGATGGGAGCTCCTCGGCGGCGCGGAGCGTGGTGCGCAGCTCCAGCATCAGCGGGGAGATGTACAGCCTGGAGAGGAGCGCGCGGGGCAGCGCCGACTCCGTCACCATCACCGCCAGCAAGAAGCGCCGCTCCAGCCTGGGGGCGAAGATGGTGGCCATCGTGGGGCTGTCCCAGTGGAGCAAGAGCACCCTGCAGCTCAACCAGACCGGTGAGATACCCCCCAATCCCCCCCCAGGTCCCCCACTTTGCTCCCGGCTGCCCAACGAGCCGCCTGTGTCTGATGGAGACACCTAAAAAAGCCCAGTATAACCCCCACCCTCATATAACACCCCCCAAAGGACTTCTCCAGGTGCCAAAACCATTGGCAAACCTGAGATGGGGGCTCTGCCAGTGTGTGTGTGGGGGGAATCTGGGTTTAGTGTCCCCCCCCCAGTAGCAGCCAGTCCCGGCTGCGGGGCTGCGGGCAGGGAGGGAGCTCGGAGAACGGACTTGTCAAACGCTGTGGCTCTGGGAAATATTTAAATGCTTAAAATAGCTTTTTAAAGGGCGGGGGAAGCAAAAAAGCTCATTTTAGTGCAGACTCTCTCTCTCACTAGTTATTGCTTTTTTTCCTTCTGGTTCTTGTTGGCATTCCGGGGTTCGATAACCCCCACCCTCATATAACACCCCCCAAAGGACTTCTCCAGGTGCCAAAACCATTGGCAAACCTGAGATGGGGGCTCTGCCAGTGTGTGTGTGGGGGGAATCTGGGTTTAGTGTCCCCCCCCCAGTAGCAGCCAGTCCCGGCTGCGGGGCTGCGGGCAGGGAGGGAGCTCGGAGAACGGACTTGTCAAACGCTGTGGCTCTGGGAAATATTTAAATGCTTAAAATAGCTTTTTAAAGGGCGGGGGAAGCAAAAAAGCTCATTTTAGTGCAGACTCTCTCTCTCACTAGTTATTGCTTTTTTTCCTTCTGGTTCTTGTTGGCATTCCGGGGTTCGGGAGATGGTCTGTAAGGAGAGGAGGTCACTTGGAGCCTCCCGCATCCGAGGTGTTTGTGAGGGGGTGTCATTACACCCAGAGCCAGGTGGGAAGTGCCTGAGGGGGCAGAACCGCACCTGGGGAGGGGGCTGGTGGTGCCCAGGGGACAGCACCCGCTCCAGGGGGGTCTGTGCCAGGATCTGGCAAACACTTCCACGGGGGCACCCCCAATTAGCAGGACACACCTGGCTCCCCCCGGGAGCAGCCCCGGCACGGTGCCCACGCACACGGTCACGCAGCGGGAGCGGGGATGGGGGGATGCTGGTGGTGCCAGGGGTGGATGCTCGGTCCGTGCTCCTCCTCCTGCCATCTGCCACCACCGGGACGTGCTGCAGCGGGGACGGTGGAACCGTGGGGGGAAAGGGAAGACTTGGCTGATCACCCCGCATCGTGGCCGGTGGGACCCCCCTCCCCTGCGGCACGGGGACATGGGGGATGCTGGAGGCCGGGAGGTGGCCCTGCAGCAGGGCTAGGATGGTGCCAGCACACGTGAGCTGAGTCTGGCAGGTCTCAGCACACAGGGGAGATGACTGCGGTGCCGGGGGGAGGCTCTCGGCCATGCAAAGGCACAAAGGTACTGGGACACGGGGGACCGTGGGCAGCCCATGCCTCTCCCCCCACGGTGTGAGTGGCACCGGGACACGTGTCCCTGGGGGTCCTGCAGGGTCCCATCCCCAGGGAAAGGCTGCCTAAATCACGCTGAGTGACGTACCGAAGGTGGGGAGCAGCACACGGGGAGGCTCCGGCCGTGCCTGGCACCCCGCTTTGTCCGTGGGGCTCGATGCCCATCCCACAGGAGGGTCCGGGGGCAGCCAGTGTTCCCCGGGTTCACCCCCCGTCTCCGTTTCCAGAGGGTGGCCCCAAAAAGCTGCGCAGCAACATCCGGAGGAGCACGGAGACGGGCATCGCGGTGGAGATGAGGACCAGGGTCACCCGACAAGGCAGCCGGGAGTCCACCGACGGCAGCACCAACAGCAACAGCTCCGACGGCACGTAAGGACCTGGGGAGGGGGGACAGGAGCAGGGGGTGGGCACCCCCCTCCCACGCTCCCGGGGCATCTCGCTTCAGCCCGATGCTCCACGAAATCCCTTTGCCCTCCCTGGCACAGGTTCATCTTCCCCACGACCCGGCTGGGCGCCGAGAGCCAGTTCAGCGATTTCCTGGACGGGCTGGGGCCAGGGCAGCTGGTGGGACGGCAAACACTGGCCACCCCCCCCATGGGTGAGTCACCGGCCACGGCGGGGTCCCTGCTCGGGGAGGTGGGGGGGGGGGGCCATCTCCAGCCCCACCGAGCAAGGGTTGGGCTGTGTCTTGGCCGGTGTGGGGCTGGGCAGAGCAGAAGGATGCTCCAGCGGGAGGGAAGGGGCTCTGGGGGGGAAGGGGCTGCTTGTTCCTCCGTGGGGCACCAGCTCCAGGGGACAGGCTCCATCATGGCAGGGTCCCGTGCCGAGGACGTGCCGGGGGGGTGCATGGCTCACCCTCTGCCGGCTCCACGAGGTGGGGGAATGTCACAGGATGTCACACAGGGGCTCCAGGCAGGACACCCGCCGGGGGAAACCACAGCTCTGCCTTTTCCTGAGGCCTCTTGTGCCATCCATCAGCTCCCTGGTTATCCCGGACCTTTCTCCCATCACAAAGGAAAAAACACCCCAGGAGGCTGCCGAGGGATGGAGCCAGCAGGAGGGGGGGGCTCTCACCTGGTTCTCTCTTTGCTGCTCGAATCCAAGCGTCTTCCCATCAGCTCAGCTTTGTCCTTCCTCTGAATTCACAATAAATCCCCCTCCCGGGGGCGGGATGCTCCATGTGCTTGAGCTGAGGATGGGGACCAGGTAGGGAGGGGTGAAGGGGCTGCAGAGGAGGAGGAGGAGGCCTCAGAGAAGACTTCTCCCCCCGGCTTCCTGGCAGCACCAAGAGGGAGAGCTGGTGGGGACACGGGGCTGGGGCTGTCCCCGGTGGGAAGAGGCCATCAGGGATGGTGCTGAGCGCGTCTTGTCCCTCCACGTAGGCGATGTCCACGTGGGCATGGCTGACCGGAACGGGCAGCTGGAGGTGGAGGTGATCCAGGCGAGGGGACTCATCCCGAAGATGGGCTCCAAGTGCATCCCTGGTAGGTGATCCTGGAGGGAGGGGGAGCGATGGGGCCAGGGACCATCACAGGAGCCTGCTCTGAGTCAGCGTTTCTCCCCCCTTGTCCCACCCAGCCACCTACGTGAAGGTTTACCTGTTGGAGAACGGCGTCTGCCTGGCCAAGAAGAAGACCAAAGTGGTGAAGAAAACCTGTGACCCCTCGTACCAGCAGCCTCTGCTCTTCGAGGAGAGTCCCCAGGGCAAAGTCCTGCAGGTGACGTACTCCCCGCACAGATACTGGAGGGAAAGGGGGAATTAGGGGAGCAAGGGCATAGAAACTCACCATCCTCACTGCTGTCCTTCAGACCGCAGATCCCAGCAGGTCCTCCTGGCCAGCCACGCTGAGTTTGCTCCTTTTTTCCCCCCAAAATCCCATCCAGCAAGCGGGGCAGCTCCACTAACACCTCCTCTGCCCCACAGGTGATCGTCTGGGGGGATTACGGGCGCATGGACCACAAGTGCTTCATGGGGATGGCCCAGATTGTCTTGGAGGAGCTGGATCTCTCCAGCGTGGTCGCCGGCTGGTACAAACTCTTCCCCACCTCCTCCCTGGCCGACTCCAGCATCGGCCCTCTCACCCGCCGCCTCTCCCAGTCCTCCCTGGAGAGCTCCACCAGCCCCTCCTGCCCGTAGGGATGGGAGAGGCCAGGAGGGGAAAGGAGACATCCTGACCTACCAGAACTGTCAGTGGATAGCTGTAAATATCCCGTCATTTTTTTTATTATTATTATTTTTCCTATTTTTTTTCTTTCCTTTTTTTTTTTTCTTCTTTTTTTAAGTCTCCTTCCCCAGACAAACCCTCTCTCAATGCTCCTCCCCGCGCAGCGTCCCGGGGCGCAGAGGGAGCGAGGGCTGTGTCTTTTGAGGCAGGGGGAAGGAGAAACAAAAAAACAACCACCACCAACCCCACGAGGCAGAGGGGGGGGTGTGAGTGCCCCCCCGGACTGTTCCCCCCCCTCCTCCCCTCGGAAAGGAACCGACCCACCACCCGGCGAGTTCAGCACCTTCACCAGGTGGCTTTTCCTTGGGTTCCCTTTCCTTGCCTCTGAGGAAAAGGTAGCTTTTCAAAGAAAAAAAAAACAAAAACAACTCAGACAAAATCCAACTCAGCACTATTATTATTATTATTATTATTATTTTTTCTGTTGGGAATGTAGCATCTTCTATTATGTAGCTTGCCACGTGCTAACGACACACTCACTCTCTGCAATATCCAAGAGACTCCGGATGGGCCGGAAACATCTGCCCATCACTCCCCATTTGTTCGTTTTCCGACACAAATCCTGCCACAGCACTTCTGGGGGCAATTCTTCTTTTTTCATTTAACTTTTCCCTGCCCCCCCCTCCCCCGGTAGCATGTAGCCTGTGACCAGTGACATTGCCAAAGCGAGAGAGGACAGGAGAAGGTGCACTCACCTCAGCGTACGCTGGTCTCGTCCTCGTGTCTCACCACTGACCGTGGTCTTGTGCAGCCAAAGCAAGGCCCGAAAGATAAACTCTGTGATGCCTCAACGTGAAAAAAAATTCGAGTCAGGAGAAGGTGATTCCACAGAGCAGGAAAACCATGATGCTGGTGGATTGTCTGGCTCCCAGCCCCTTCCTCCCACAAGAGCCAGCTTGATCCAGGATGCTCTTCTGGGGTCTGGGATGTTCTGCTTGGAGCTGGGACGCTCTCCTGGGGTCCAGGATGCCCTCCTTGGAGCTGGGACGCTCTCCTGGGGTCCAGGATGTCCTCCTCGGAGCTGGGACGCTCTCCTGGGGTCCAGGATGTCCTCCTCGGAGCTGGGACGCTCTCCTGGGGTCCAGGATGTCCTCCTCGGAGCTGGGACGCTCTCCTCAATACTTGAATTTCAAGTAGGAGCAGAGGTTTTGCCAGACCCCGCGCCAGGACGCACCTTTCTCCAACTCTCCTCTTGTTGGTACACTACAGGGGAACATCTCAACAGCATCTTCTGCTGATCTGGAATTGGGGTGACTGAGAGGTTACGAACAAAGGACTAGATGCTTTGACTTTATTATCAGGATGAGTGTTTTGGGTTTGTGGTTGTTTTTTTTTTGTTGTTGTTGTTTGTATGTTTTGTTTGTTTGTTTTTAAAGCAGCATTTTGGTTCCCCCCCGAGGGACCAGTTCTTGTAGCAAAACCAAGAATTACGGAAGCTTTTTTTGAAGGTGCCTAATGAAATTTGCTGAAAATACTCAGGGGAGACACCACTAGAAACTCTGGTTTCTTCAAAAAATATACTTAACACAATGACTGTCCTGAAGGATCAGTTTCCAAAAGAGAGGAATAAGAAACAAAACCAACACACCAAAAGCTGAGCAGTCTTGAGACTGGAAGAGGACAAGAGGTTAACGGGGAATTTTTACTGACCAAGATAGGTCTGACCTTCAGTCTTTGACAAAAGTCAACCCACGGCACAGTTGGGATTTTTCTACAATGATTTATTGGCGAAGCAGCGCGTTTCACGATGCACAGAGCACAACAAAACCAACCCGTGGTTCTCCTGGCGCCGCCGGGAATGACAGACCAGCTCGAAGCTGCTGCCACAAGGAAACAAAACCAAACCTGAAGGAAGAGAGTGTTGGAGTGAAGCTGGTCCCTCCACAGCCCCAAACCTGGGGGTCAGCCACCCCCCACTGCTCGGTGGCTGGGACACCCAGCACCACCACGGTTTTAGTGACATAATGACAAGGAATTTCAGCTGCTGGCGTGGACTTTGCATCTTTACAAATCAGAAAAAAGGAAAAAAAATCACTGTAGAGCTCTGAGAAGAGAGGGGGCTGGATGCTGCTGACGGGGGATGGAGAGGGGTCTGCCCCGAGACCCCAGTCCCACCTCCAAAAGGATTAAATCCTCATTTCCAAGAGTGGTAAGTGCTGGTTCAAGGAATAGGTGCTGATTTGGGGCTGAAGGGCAAGGTACAGGACTGTGGGACGCGCTAAGAGTCTGAAATGGTTTGAGGAAGCAAAGTCGGTGCCCTGACTCCTGCAACGGGATAAACAAGGGGCTGAACAGCACGTTCCTTCCCCAGCACGGAGCAGTTACACGAGGCCAACGACGCCTGGATGAGGCTGAACTTCCCCTGCCCTGGCGAGCTGGATTTTTTGAATATACACGAGGGAAGGCATCTTAAGAGGAAAAGCTTTCCGCTCCTTCAAGCTCACATTATTTGCTTTTGCTTTACAAACTCTATTTCAATGGAAAAAAAAAAAAACAAAACAACTCTGCCTGCGGTGGGACAATACCCAGGTCCCCAGGGAGCGGCGTCGCAGCGTGGGCAAAACGGGAGCTCTGTGGGTATTTTCTGCTGGGGGGGGGTGGCATCTGACGGCTGTACACTTCTCCAGAGAGCTGCAGAGCTTCCCTGCTCCTCTTCTCCACCAGGAACACAACACTTTTCTGGAGACAGAGGAGGGAAGGGGAGGAGAAGCAGCAGAAACACCGGGACAGGCGGGCACACACCCAAGGCAGCAGATACCCAAGGTCTCAGCAAAAGGCTCCCTGGTTCTGCACCAGGTGAAAAACCTGCCTTTGCTGGCAGATGGGAGATCCAGAGAGAAGCCCCTACCCCACCTGGGTTCTCCGGAAAACATGGAAAACCCAAATACTTTGGCTTTTTTTCAGACTGAGGGTGCAAGGGAGGATAACAGCGAGGCTCACACCAGAAGACACTGCACCCCAGGTCTCTCCCAGGGGAGTGTTCCCATCCCTCAACGTGATGGGGACATGGGAATGATTCCTCCAGCTCAGTGAGAGACCAGCAAGGTGGAGCCACCATCCCAGTGACTGTCACTCACTGGACACACTGAAATTCATCAAAACCTTAACTTCTTTACTCTCAGCACTACGCCTCCAGTCCCCCCAGGGAGCTGGTACTCACTTCTCTGCAGAAGCATCTGGGTCAGGACCCACCTTAGATTCACGTGGAGAAAAGCAAGAGGTGAGAAGAGAGAGGGAGATGTGCCATCATCTCGCTGCAGCACCAGCTCCTCCTCGTCTCTCTGCGCCGGGGACCACGTGCCAGATGTTTTCCCTACTCCAACAAGAAGAACAAAAAGGCCAAGACACCCAGTTGCTTTCTACACACGACACACCAGAAAAACCACAAGCTTCTGGACTCCAGGTTTTTTCTGGGGGAATGTTTTATTGCAAAGGGCATTTTTTATTTAAAAAAAAATGTACTATATGGTTTGCAAAAGGTAGCTGCACCACCTAGGTATTATGCATTAGATTATTTCCTTCCTTTCTTCCACCTTCCATCAGGAAATTCAAACCATTTGACTTTCCAGATATTTTCCCCTAGAAAGAATAATTAATAGTAAATGGAATTAAACTTGCAGCCCAGTTTATACCCAGTGCTCCCGGCAGTAAGCGAGCAGCCAGAGCACACAGAGCCCACCTGAGCCACAGACAGACCTTACTGTAGCACGGCTGGTGTCAGAATCAAGGCACCCTACTGGGGTAACAAGGGTGGATTTTGCCAAAGTAGCCTTGAAATGATACTTAAACATCCCCTAAAGTCTAGTGAAAAAATAAGAGTCTCGTCCACCCAGCAAAGCACAGACAACACTAGAGGATTTCACTCCCAGACCTAAGTTATGCCTGGGTTTTCTACAAGCCTGGAATGGGCTTTATTTGGCAAAGTTGAGTGACTGAAAATTTTCTAGGCCACCAGAAGGTGGGTCAGGCCTCTGGGCTCAACCAGAAATGAGCTCCTGTCTCATCAACACCATCGCATGATGCTTAGACAGAGTTTTCCTGAAATCAGGCGAGACAGAGAACCAATGACCTGACCAGCAATCAGGAAACTAAACCTATTACGTGGCTTTGGAAAATGCCACAGAACAACTGCGACGGTGGGAAATATTCCCTCCACCAGCACCTTTTCCAGCTCTTAAATACAAGACCAGAAATTCACACAGGAGTGGGATGAGGATCCCCTTCCCCGAGAGGGAATCACTGCTGTTCACTCCTAGGCCCCTGCTCTATCAGTGATGAGACTTGAGAAGTCAAGCCTGTGTTTGTGCACGTGAGAGAAATTAACACACTTAACACCTTTGCTTATTTAAGTGGGCTCGCAAACACTCAGCAGCAGTATTTACAGTGTAAAGATCTTTACTGATATAAGGCCATTTATAAAAACATCACCAGTGATGTTTTTCCAGGCGTAAAGAGCCTACCTTCTGTTTTCTTCCAGTTGACTCAGACACTTCTTCCCGGATTGATGTGAAACGCTTGGACAATGCACATCTGTAAACTCCTTAAGGGTGTGCATTTGGGTACTGATTTGGAAAATAACTGCATTTTAAAGGTCAAGGAACAGTGCTCAGGCACCGTTCTTCTTGATGGCTGAATTCAAAGTCTAGATGCGTTTCGCATCACAGATGGAAAGAGATATGAAGAGCTCTCTCTCCTTTCCTTTGGGTTTCTGTGCCTCCAGACAGATCTGCAGAATTACCTTCAGAAAAGCAGGTTTGCATCCCGTGAGGTGCCAAAGGCACGACGGCTCCAGCCGTTCTCTAGCAGAGCTGTTTCAACTGGAAGTCTTCCTTCTGCTCCACCTTTGCAGGCACAGAAACCACCCAAACCCTCAGCTGGGTGTTAGAGGTGCAGGAGTTACGTGTGTGTGAGCTGAAAAGAAGGTTGAGAGGCTGAGAGAAAGATATCCTGGGGGGAAAAACGTGTCTGAACTGGTGAGGGAAAGATGGGCTACACGTGACACAGCTGGAGTCCTACAAAACAGACTCAGTGACCCCAAGTGACGATTCATGTCACCTTAACCGAGCCGGTCCCTGTCTGGGGAAGGTGTAGGTTTTACAAAGTAGACATAGAACAATGTACAGTAAAGGGCCTAAGTGTTTGTCTCGCTGTCTGAGTAACCGCCACACTGTTTGACCCCCATCATCTGCCTCGGGCACAGACACGGGGACAGAGCGTGGTGGCACCGAGGAGCCCAGGAGCAGGGGCTGTCCCTGTCCCCATGCCCCAGGTGCTGGTGTCACCTCTCTGCCTGTCTGCAGCTCTGATTATTGCTATACCTCATTTAGCACTTTTTTTTCTTACCTTAACCCCCCCTTTT